GAATCGATGATAGTAGGACTCTGGGCACCGGTAGGAGGAGAGAGTGACCCCGCCCCTCCTGCCTGAGCCCCAAAGCCCCAGTTTGGAAGGGGCCCTGCCTCCCCAGGTTGGCCCGGAGCGGCGGCGGCGGCCATCCCATGATACTGGCTATTAAGTTTCTGCAGCTGCATACTAGCCAACAGGTGAGGGGCAGGGTGCAGGTTGAAGGGTGGGGTTTTAGTGGGAGGGCTGGAGGTAGGAGAGCCTATCGGAGATGGAGATCCCAAGGGACTAGTGGGAGCCCCACTGGCCTTGGTTCCATTTGAGGCCACCGCGGGGTAGTGCAGAACCGCCACTGCTTTGCGATCTTTCACCCCCAGGTTAGAGTAGGCCAGAGAGCTCATCTCTTGGTTGGCATCCTAGAAGACAAAAATAGGCACACCATAGTACCCCTGCTCCTGGCTTGTCCCTTACCATTTATCAAACCCAGAAGGCAGAAAGCAAAAAAAAAAACAAAACAACAAAAAAACCCCAGAAGGCTCCCATCCCACATGCACTTCATTTGGGGCTAGAGGTGAGGAGGTAGCAAGAGGACCCCCTGGAAAATGAGGCTCCTAGCTCAAGTATCCTTTTGCTACTGTGGCTCTGAGCACTGAGGTCAGACCCCAGTTCTAGTGCTGGGGCACCTGCCATCTTAAGTGGGTTCACTGCTTTCATCCTCCCCTCCCCCACCCTCCAACTCACCACTCTATAAAGGGCATCTGTCTGTCCCTCTTCTCAGCCTCACTTTAATCTCTTCAACAGAGTGGTCTTGTTCCAGTTTTACTTCTCTGCTCCCTTTCCCTGCCATCTTTCAACACCCCTAGTGGGTTTAATTTGACCACATTTAGGCAGAAGCTATTCTCATTTTCCCCCAGAGAAAGCCCTGCTGTCTCCTCTCTGCTCAAGGACACTAGATATCACACCTAGGCGGATCTAGCACGTGACGCCAGGAAAGTTTCTTTCCCTGCCTCAGTGTCTCCATCTGTAAAATGGCAAAAATTACCTCCTTCGCAGGTGAGGTGCCACCCTTGACATCAAGTGCAGGCCTTGACATTGTTGGCATTTCAGAACCTTGGCAGAAGTTGGATAAATTGGCGGGAGATGATGCTGCCAGCTGGCGCTGTTGTCCTGTATGTGAGGGAGAAGACATGGTTAAGGTCAAAGAAAGCATGGCAACCCCACATGGCTACAAGGCAAGGATGGTGACAGGGTTAAACACAACACCAGAGGCCATCCGAGCAGAGGGAGGAGATCAAGCTGGAACTTTTGCCTGAGGCAGGAAAGGTGCTGCCCAGGCAGCCAGCTATCACCACTGCCAAGAGGGGACACACATGACTGTTTCCTCATGCAAGTGATTCGGGTCCCAAGTTAGGTGTGTGTGTGGGGGCGGGTGGTGATGCTGTTCCTGGTTCTGAGGGCAGGAATGTCCCTGAGTGAGTAGCACACTGTCTCAGTGGGCTACTAGGGGCCTCCACTGGACCTGAAAGAATGTGGGAAGAAGTCAGGGCAAAGAAGATCTAGAAAGCTGGAGGCTGCATCACAGGGAAAGGACAAGCAAATGTCGTGCAGCTCTAAGTCCCGCCTTGGACATGCCTGCGAGAAGTCAGGCTGGTCAGGGTAGTCTGGGGGCTGAGGCAGCCAAAGCCAGACAGAGCAGCTAGGAATGTCTCCCTTTCCCGCATGCCTCAAGCCCCCCTCCAAGACAGCCCCAGTACTGGGCCCTCCCAGGACACCTGCCCCAGAGCTCTGAGCCCAGCCACACCCATCTCTAGTAACAGGGGGAAGTATTCTTCCCAGAGGGAAACTGAGGCAAAGAGATTCAATCTCTTTCTCTTCAGGTAGCAGTGGTTCTGGAAGCAGGATTTAGCTCTGCTATGCCCGCATGCCTCACCTGATCACTGGCCAAATCATCATACCTGGAATGACTCAAATGGCTTTCAGAGAAACCATTCCCCAGCTCAAGTACCAAAGGATAAGGAAATGAGGGCAAAAGAATACCCCGGCCGGGCGCGGTGGCTCATGCCTGTAATCCTAGCACTCTGGAAGGCCGAGGCGGGTGGATCGCTCAAGGTCAGGAGTTCGAGACCAGCCTGAACAAGAGCAAGACCCCGTCTCTACTAAAAAATAGGAAGAAATGATCTGGACAAC